TTTTCTGATTCTTTAAGTCAGTAGGAGTTGTAAATCTTCCTTCGCTGATGTTTCTTTAACAACATTTTGACAGAGTAGTCGTTACTACATATGGCCCTGGTTACTATAATGTTACCCTTCATAGGCATAACTGTCACAAATATTAAGAGAGCTGAGAAGTTCTAGATGCGCAGATATTTGGGGTAAGTTATGGAACCTTCATGTGTTGGAGCGTGGGGGAGCCTCTGAGGACTGTAGTAACCATTTGTGGTTTCAGCTATAGTTGCAGCCTGAGGCCCACAACTATTAAATGGAAAACTCCAGAAATACTTCGGTTTTTTGAGACAGGGTCACACTCTGAAGTTCAGACTGGTCTTGATCTTACCGTGTGGCCCAGGCTGGCCTCAAACTCACAGAGATCCTCATGCCTCAGCCTACCAGGTGCTGAGATTACAGGTGTGTGTCACTACACCCAGCTAGAAACACACCACGTATAAATTCCAGTTGCGTACTCTTCCAAATATTGTGATGAAATTTTGTGCCATCTTGCCAGGAAAGTGAATCATCCCCCTTGTTCTGTTTACCCGTGCTGTATGTGCTACCTGCCTGTTGCTGCCTTAGCCTTCAGGGTTATCTGATCAACTCTCTTGCCTTTGGGGTTTGGTGCTCTCTGAGGTTCGGAGTATACCCTTGAGTCCTGCAGAGCTCCTCATGGTTGGTGAGGTGGGTGCTGTAGTTCAGTCCTTTCATTTAACATGCGTTCATTGCTGACTTTTGGAGACTTCACAGACTATCCCAGACAAGTAACAGCTGTTTCTAGAAAGATTTCCCCTGGTGGAGATTCTTGATGCAGTGTGACATGGACACCCTGGTAGGAGTTTGTTGTTAATTCCAACTTTAGTATTTCCTACTCATTCTGTTGCTGCTTGTTCCTCCTCCTTTTTTTTAAGATGCGGTTTCTCTATGCAGTGAGACTGGCCTTGCATTCATTTTGTAGCAAGGACTGGCCTTCGTGTTGGAGTGATCCTGTGATCCTCCTGTCTCAGCCTCCCTACTGCTGCGACTGTAGGCATGTGCCACCGTGCCTGACTTTTTTTAAATTGAACCTTCAGGTAGAAAAATATTTTATTATTCTTTTAGAAATAGAATGTATGTGGTAGAAAACATACCTTATTATCCTTTTAGAAATAGAATGGGTAAGTAGTACTTTCTTAGGATTTGGCTGTTGTGGCATTGGGGTATAAGACATACATATTTGGTCTTTGATCGTGGTTCATATAGAGCTTCTAAAACCTTTGTACAGGGCTGGAGAGATGGCTCAGTGGTCTAAAGCACCTACTTGGAACAAGCTTGGCAAAGCACAGGGACCGCGGTTCGATCCCCCAGCACCACATGCCAGTCAGCCCCGCCCCCTGGTGGGCTGAGCTGGCCACACACACACACACACACACACACACACACACACACACAAAATAAATGTTAAAAAAAAAAAATAAAACCTTTGTACAAGTTCCCAACTTAGAAACATTTAAAGTGTGAACTTTCACAGATACAAATGAACATTGCATTATGGATAGCTGTAGATACAACCAAATGGTGGGAGTAGCTCATGTGCCTACCTTACCATTTTAAGGTAACTATAAAAGTGAAAATAGTTTACTAAGAGTATTTTGTGTGTTTTTGGGTTTTTTATGCTGTACAGTATACATTTGTGTTAAAGGTAAGACTTACTTTATTGGGGCCGGGGAGGTGGCTCAGTAGAATAAGCACTTGCCTGGCAAGTACAAGGGCCTGAGTTCAATCCCCGGTTCCACCAAAAAAAAAAAACAACAAAAAACAAAAAACTTACTTTATTGGATTTAGTGACCTACTTCCAGAATGGAATTCATTTGTAAGTATAATTTCCTAAGTAATAGGGGAAGGGAAGAATTTTATTCTGTTACTTGGTCTTTGGCAGCAGTTCCTGTGACTCTTGGTGGGTTCCTCAGTGCTAGCCATGTGACTGGAGGGTTGGCACTTGTGACTCTGCAGTGTGCCAAGGGAAAAAGCGGAGTTGTTCACTGGTGGTCATTGGTGCAGTCAGTCATGCCTGTGTAGTGAAGCCTCCATAAAAATCCAAAAGGACATGGTTCTAATGAGCGTCCAGATAGCTAAACGTGTGACATTGCCTTGGGGATGGTGTGACAGGGCATGAAAGTTCCTTTCCACGATTCCTGCCCTCGCCACTTCTTCATGTAGCTGTTTGTCTTTCTCTTTTGTAAAAATCCTTTATTAATAAACTAGTAAATGTCAGTGAAGTGTTTTTCCAAGTTCTGTGAGCCATTCTAGCAAATTAAAGGAGGGTACACGGGAGCCTGGATTTATAGCCAAGGTGTCAGAAGTACAGGTAACAGCCTTCTACCTGCCATTGGTGTCTGGAGTGAGTGGCAGTCACGTGGGATTTGACACCACTAGACCGTTGCTTCCAGTATCTACAGTCGGAAGTGTGTTGAAGGAGAGGAGAGAGAGAGCAGTGGATACAGTTTGGTTTTCTCAGAAGTGTAGTAAAGCTTTCCTTGCATGGAAACTGCTGGGACATTCCAGTCTGTAAGGGTAGGTTAGTAAGTAATGATGTATGGCATGGAGAAGGGGATTAGATTTAGAGTAAGGAATCACCCAGAAGGCTTATAAAACCATGCTTAAAGTACCACAATGTGGTATCTTATCCACAAAAGGAATCTGCTGCAGGTATCACTAGAAATCACTGGCCAAGCAGTAGTGTACAGAGCAGGGAAATGGGCTAAGCACAGTGGTGTGCTCCTGTAAAGCTATTCAGGAGGCTAAGAAGATTGTCATTTGGGGCATGTCGGGGCTAAGCAGTGAGTTGTTTCAAAAAAAAAAAAAAAAAACCTGGAAATGTAGTTTGATTCCTAGTACTGTACCACAAAAGTAAGAAAATAGGAAATGACAAATTCTTAAAATGGTTATGGCACAGAATCACATTTTGCCCTCAGCCCTGGCTATAGCAGCATGGCAGTGTCCAATGTAAGAGGTTTACTTGAAAACACTGCGAGTTGCTTGAAGCCGGGGTTCACTCCCAGCACTGCACCACGTCTGATCGTCAAAGGCAGACCAACCACCCCTCATCAAACTGCGAGTCTCAGCTACTCGTTGTTCAGAGCACTCTTTACTTGAACGCACTCCTGTACCCTCCCCAGGAGACCCCCTGCTACCAGTTCTCTTCATTGTCAGTACAGAATTGGTGAATCCCCCACCTGGGTGCCTGTGAGGGCTGCTTCGGTCATCTCTCCTCCTTCACTCTTGCAGCACAGTGATTCTAGACTCTTAAGAGCTTCTGTTTTTCAGATCTTTAATCTTTCCTTTGTTTTTTTCCTGCACTAGGGATCAGAAATGCAGCTGCCTGCAGATAATATGAACAAGTCCTAATGTTGAACAAGTTGGAGAGTGCCCAGCTAAAGGGGATGGTTATGTCTTGTTACCAGATCTAAGGTGTTTCCAGAGAACAGGGAATCTGGGAGTTTAGAGGGCACACAATTTTCATATGTTGCCATTTAATTCACTTTTTTTTTTTTTTTTTTTAATGTATTCAGTACAGGGTCTCACTATGTAGCTCAGACTTGCAGTGATCCTTTTGTGTTCAGCTTCCCCAGCACTGGGATCATAGGCATACCATACCCAGACTCAGCCTCCAGCTCGGCATGCCCAGGGTGAGGCCAGCGTGGCATGTGGTACGAGTGATCAAACCCTGGTCCCTGTGCTTGTCTAAGCAGGTGCTGAGTCTGTTGAGCTATCTCACCAGCCCTTAGTTCACATTTTTAAAACATGATGCTACTCTTGGTGCAGAATTTGAAACCTGTGCTCCAGATTTATGTAGGTTGGAAGCTCAGAGTTGCCCTGGGTTAAGTGTTTGGTAAGATAGAGGAGGCGTCTTTTGTAACCTTTCAGACACTAAAATTGTTTTCTGGTCAGTTGCAATTCTTTGACATCTTCTTGAAAGATTATATGTCATTTCTGAATGAAAGAAGTTGGAAAAAAAATTTTTGATCTGAGAATGCCTGGTGCTTTTTCCTCCATGAAAAAGGCTATTACAAAAAGGCTTAAAAAGGGGCGGGGCGGGGAGATGGCTCAGTGGAATAAGCGCAAAAAAAAAAAAAAAAGAACAGTCATTTGTAAAAGAAATTTTGGGGCCAGGGAGATGGCTCAGTAGAATAAGCACTTGCTTGGCAAGTGCAAAGGTCTGAGTTCAATCCCTGGTTCTGGGAAAAAAAAAAAAAAAAAAGGCTTAAAATTGAGGATTAAAAATTTGCACCCCCAGGGATATGACTGTAGGGTAAAGACTGGTCCCCATTGCACTTGGGGCCTCAGAGTTTTTGTTAAAAAAAAAAAAAAAAAAGCTATGCCACATGGCATGGTGGCCCATACCTATAACCCTAGCATCCAGGAAGCTGAGGCATGAGGAGTGCCGGGACTTTGAGACCATCCTGGGCTACATGGAGAGTCAAGGCATCCTGGACTGTCTTGGGAGACCTTGGAACCTGTCTTTTAAAAAAATGCTGTAACTCATACCTTTTTTTTTTTTCCTTTTTGGTACCAGGAATTGAACTCAGGACCTTGCACTTGCCAGGCAGGCACTGTGCTGCTGAGCCATCTCAGCCCCATACTCTTTTTTTGAAACAGTTTTACTGTGGAATTCAGGGTGGCCTTGAACTCAGGGTGTATCCCAGGCTGGCCTGAAAATCCTGGCAATCTTTATGCCTCAGCCTCTTTAGTGCACTGCCATGCCCTGATGCCAGGGCTGATTTTGAACTTGAGATCCTCTTGAAGGCCTCAGCCCTTCAGAGTGCTGGGCTGATAGGCATGGGCCCACACTTGGCTCCATATCATGATCTTAAAGTTGCTGGGCCAAGTATTTATCAGTGATGTTACCACCATGTTAGAGAGTAGATATTTTGTTTTCCAACTTCTAGATGGAATTGGTATTTAAAATAGGTCTAAAATGTTTCTTATCCCCCTTTTCTTAGGTTTTCAAAACAAAAATAGAGTTGCAATCTTAGCAGAGCTGGACAAAGAAAAAAGAAAATTACTTATGCAGAACCAATCTTCAACAAATCATCCAGGAGCTAGGTATTAACTGTCATTTTTCTGGTGCTCTTATTAGCCATGTTTTTCAATATAACGTGCTGCTTGACACTCTTTGGAGGGCTCCTTTTACTGTTAGGATAAGGCCTACATTTTATAATGGTGTTCATTGACAGTATATTAATCCCTGTGATAGCATGAGCCGTCTTTCACCAGAATTGCTCTGTGATGTCTCTTTGCATTGCATATTTGTATGCTTGCAGTGCTTAGCACACAGCCAGACACCCAGTGGCTGCTCCATATAATCTGGTAAATAAGTACCTCTGAATTGGGTTATTTATTTAGAATAACTCATATGTGAAACATGGCTTAGGTAATTTGTTTAATTAAACAAAAATGTATGGTTTTACTGTTGCTGAATATTATATTTTTTAACTTTAAAAAATGATGTTAATAAGGATCATAATAATAATGGTACCTGAAATCTGTTTGAAAATAAGGGGCCTGCTGAGCCTGGTGGTGCACATCTGTAATCCCAGAACTCAGGCAGCGGAGGCAAGAGGATTGCTATGAGTTTGAGGCCACCTGAACTCCACAAGACATTGTCTCAAAAAACAGCTATCTGGGGAGATAGCTCAGTGGCATAAGCACCTGCCTGGCAAGTGCAAGGTCTTGTGTTTGATGCCTAGTACAGCATGCTGTACTGGCCCTGTGTGGTGATGCATACCTATAATCCCAGTGCTAGAGAGGCTGAGACAGGACGATCACTATGGGTCTGAACTGTGTAGCAAGACCCTGTATCAAATAAATAAATGAATAAAAAAGTAAGGGGTCAGCCATCAGTTATCAATATTAAAAAGTAGGTCTTTTGAAATTTCATAGGCTTTCTTCATATAACTTAGGGTAAGTATGGGGAGAAACAGGAAGAGCCTGCTTTATCCCTGTAAGAAATGGACAGCGAAGGGCTATACATTCAGTGGTCAAATGTGTGTGGCTTTGAGTCTCAGAGCCACCAAAAAAATAAAGACAAAAAACCCCCTTCTTTTTAGGAGATTTATTATACAACATGGTGACTATAGTTAATGATGTAATTATACCTGAAAATTGCTAAGAGAGATCTTTAATGTTCTTCCAGTAAAAATAATCAGTATGTGAGATGGCTATGCTAATTAGCTAAATTTAACTATTTCACAATATATAAATATGAAAATGTTATTGACCACCCTAAATACATAAACTGAAGTTAAACATCATTTACTACAAGGGCCAGGCAGAAAGCTCAATGGAGTAAGCGTAAGGTCCTGAGTTTGATCCCGGGTACCACAAAAAAGAAAATCTTTTGCTACCATTAAAATTTAAAAAAAGGAAGGCGGTGCCTGCCTTAAGCAGTGAAGTGACGAGATTCTCGTTTCAGCATCGCGCTCTCCAGGCCCTCTCTGAACAAGGACTTCCGGGATCATGCCGAGCAGCAGCATATTGCAGCCCAGCAGAAGGCAGCTTTGCAGGTAAGCAGCGTGTAACAGACCTTCTCTCACCGGATGTTTCCTGGGTCGGGGAAGCCAGCACAGTAGTTATCTTGTATTTCAGAGGAGCAGTATCAATAAAAATGTTCCACACATAGTAATTGCAGTGGCTGGCTGATGTTCAGTTAGGCCCGAAGGATCTGAAGGACCAGTGCAGCGGTAATGAAAGCATCCTTATGGTACTGACATGGTCACGATTGATTCTGTGCTGTACCTGCCAAGGGATTGCTTGTGCACAGGCGTGTAAGACAGTTGGACGGAGAGGATGATCTAGAAAATTGGAATGGCTGCTTTAATAGTATATGTCATTGCATCATTTGGTTTTACATCTTTGTTTGGATTGTTTTTAATGGCCAGCTCTTTGAAGGCTAATTCGTAACATGGGATTAGAATATGATATTTCATCAGTTCAAAAGCATACCATTCTTTAGAGTAATAAATACTGTTAATGTTACATTCATCTGGGGTAATTGATTCCTAGAGGCCTTGGATGATATACTGATTTTTGTTGTTGTTGGCATGATGTAATTGCCTATGCTTCAACTTTATAATCACTGAATTGGTAGGGATGTTCTAAAGATCATCTCCCTTGAGACACAACAGCCTTTTTTTTTTTTTTTTTTTTTTTTTAAATGTCAGAGGGAAATTACCTGTGGTTTTCTGGTGTTTACATTCCCATATTCTCTTAAAATGTTGCTGTTTTCTAATCATCAAGAATCAGCACCTTGGGGCTGGTGAGATAGCTCAGTGGTCTAAAGTGCCTGCTTAGGCAAGCTTAGGCAAGCATGCAGGGATCTCAGTTCGATCCCCAGCACCACATGCCATGCCAGCCCCGCCCGAGTGGGCTGAGCTGACCATAAAAAAAGAAAAAAATAAAGGAAACATTAAAAAAAAAAAAAGAATCAGCACCTTGGCCAGTGAGATAGCTCAGCGGACTAATGCCTGCTTAGACCAGCGCAGGGACGGGTTTGAACCCCAGCCCCACATGCTGTGCCAGGCTCAGGCACACTGAGTTGGTCACCAAGACTGGGTGTGGTGGCACACACCTGTAATCCCAGTGCTGGGGAGGCTGAAAACAGGAGAATTAGTGAGTCCCTGGACCAGATACATCAAGGGTCATCACCTTTTCTGCCTGTCCTCTCCTTCCAGCTACCTTTCCTTCACAGGTCTGCTCAGTGGACCCAGGGCAGAGTACTTTGGGACCTTTCATGCTAGCTTTCTTCCAGAGAACAAAGCAACTCCTGTCTGACTCATCGGCTGACTGAGAGCAGTCACAGAGGAGCTGATGGGGTCACTATAGAGTGCCGGCTGCAGCTTGTTGATCTGAACTCGGTGGTTGTCCATCTCCAGGGTGTTTACACAAAGTGAACAGCATGAGAACTGAAGTTTAGATCAGTTTGACCTCAAGCATTCAGAAAGGATAAATAATTGTAATGCTGTGGCTGTGATTCCTTTTTTTTAAAAACACTGTGATTCTTAATAGCTTGATTGTTTTTTTTTTTTTTTTTTTAATTCTAATTTCAGCATGCTCACGCACATTCATCTGGATACTTCATAACTCAGGACTCTGCATTTGGGAATCTTATTCTCCCCGTTTTACCACGCCTTGACCCAGAATGAAGAAAATATCTGTGATGAAAGTGACTGTAGTTCCAAAGGCCAAAGCTACTCATTCACTGCTGTACAAACTGACTTTCAGAATTCTGGTGAATGTACATATTTTTTGCTTCCTTAAGAAAGGAGAAAGTAAGTGAAAGCGAGGAGAAGAGGAGCAGGATGACGGACACGTGGAAGCTGTCTCATTGAGGAACTGATGATGCTGCCCTGGACTACAACTTGTGTGTAACACCATTTGGTTTTTACCTCTAAATCTGATAGTCACATAAAATGAGGCTCCACACCAACAAGTTGGGCTGAGAATACCGTCTACAGTTAGTTTTCAAGAGCCATTTCTAGTACTTACTTTAAAAAAGGATTTAAAAAAAAATAGGATTTTTTTTAAAAGTTGATTATTAGCTTAAGAAATTCATATATATACTTTATCCTTTGGATTTAGGGTCAGCATATCATGCAGAAATATTCTTTGTGAACTCCTAGTTCACAACTAGTCCCCTGTTGTCCATTTTAAAAGAAAGCCCAAACTAAGTTACTAACCAGTCTTAATTTCTTTTATAAACAAATGCCGTTATAAATGATGTAACTAAATGTTATTAAAAACAAGAAATGTGGTGGGCTCAAATTTTGTACATCTCTTATTTTTAATGTTGCAGCATAAATGGTACACCCGTGTGGTTTATGCAAGTTAAGGTGAGCATGGTGGTGCACCCCTGTAATTCCAGCTACTAGGGCAACTGAGGCAAGGGGATTGCAAGTTCAAAGGCAGGTTGGGCCTCTTAAAACTTAAAAAAGAGACTGAGGATATAGTTTAATGGTAAAGCACTTAGCTAGCACGTGGAAGGCCCTTAGCTCTGTCCTCAGTATGTGGGGTGCGGGGTGCTGAGAGTTGAGACCCTTTTTTAATCACTTGAAATAGGAAGAGTAGATTAAGCAAGTTCAACATAACTTATCCGTAACAGAATCTAGGGTTCTGACTTACATATATAGTCCCCACTGCCCTATCCTACCTTGTCCTGCAACATTAGAATCTGATTTAGATTCTAAATAAGTCTCAAAACAGTGGGTTAGATAATTCTGTAACTTTTTTTTTTTAGGGAAGGGTCTACAAGGTATTCAGAGTCTCACTACTAGATCAGAGTCATAGTGATTCTCCTGTTTACAGCATCCTAAGAGCTGGGATTACAAGCACGCCCTCCCCCATGCCCAGTCTCAATTGCTATCTCAGTGTGCCCCATGGGCGGGGCCAGCACAGCAGGCTAGGGATGGAATCCCCAGGCCCTGCACCTGCCTAAGCAGGTGCTTTCATCCCCTGAACCATTTGGTTGGCTCTTGTGTAACATTTTGTTGAAATTTTTCATGATGGAAATATTCTGTACTATATCACAGATACAGTTGTCCCCTCCCCTTGAAACCAGGGCTGTGTTCAGGCAGACAGAGAGAGTATGTGTGTGCACGTGTGCGTGTGTGTGTTGATCGTGGCGAGTGAACCCAGGCCTTCTTTTTAATTTCCTTTTTGAGACAGGGTCTGGCTATGCAAAGCCGTTGGGCCTTACCCTCACTGTGCAGCCCAGGCTGGCCTCCAACTCAGCGATCCTCCCACACCACCAAGCCCAGCTTATTGTGAGGCAGAGTCTCACTGTTGTCTTGTTGGAACTTGGTGATCCTTCTGTCTCGACCTTCCCCTAACTGACCTTCCCCATTATCTCTAGTAGTGGGGCAAAATTTAAACTTAAAATAGATAGCTTATAGCCATAGTATGAATTGTTGAATAATTGTGGTGGTCATCTAATATGGCTGAAGCCCTTAACAGCTTATCTTCCCAGAGACCACCTCCCCCTTCTTCTCCAACTTAGTCCAGGGTGCATTTCCTTTCACCTTTCCCGCCACCTCAGGGAAGGCCCCAGTCAGCTCCTCGGTTAACGTTCCCCTCCAGCCCCACCCCCGGCGAAAGGCCATCAAAGCCTCAGCCTCCATTTGTTCCAATCCAGAGAATTCCTTATTTTCGCAAATTATCTCCATGTCCTCCAAAATAATGAAGCCCCTTTCCCTTTATAATAAAGCCCTTTTCCTTTTTTCCTTCTGCCTATTTCTCTGCTATGACACCTATCAAAATTCTGGTTTTGATTAATATTTAGTCATGGTTCCTTCCCTTTTCATAATTTCTTCTGAATCTTTTCACCAACCACACAGCTGTATCTTTCCCAAACTAAGTGAAGCCAGGGTGATTAATGATAGAAATTGCTGTGCCATTTATAGATTTTTTTTTTTTTTTTTGAGGTACTTGAATCTAGGACCCCATGTAGATCAGGCAAGTGTGCTACTGTCCTGCCCACAGCTGCTGAGATCACAGAGCTATGTAGGGTTTTTTCTTTCAGGAGTTTATAGTGCCCTTCATTTCCCTGAATTTCCGTAAGTTTCCGTTCTGTGGATGACAACATACTGACGGTTTCATATCCACTGACACTAGGGAGATAAAATATTTGCATGTTTTTTTCATGTGCTTCTACCAAGGTGTAATTTTTTTTTTTTTTTTTTTGGTGGTTCTGGGGATTGAACTCAGGACCCTGCACTTGCCAGGCAAGCACTTATTCTACTGAGCTATCTCCCTGGCAGGTGTAATTTGTAATAACACAAGAGATCTTTTTAGCTATGGTATCCTCTTTGGTTTCTAAGCCTTCTAAGCAGCTGTTGCCCAAATCCTGCATTTGTCCCCGGAAAGCACTTCCTCTCTGCTTTGTGTCAGTTGCAGATTAATTCCATGTGGATCTATTTTTTTTTTAAATTTTATTTATTTGTGTGTGTGTGTGTGTGTGTGTGTGTGTCCAGCTCAGCCCACCAGGGGGCGGGGCTGGCTCGCATGTGGTGCTGGGGGATTGAACTGCGGTCCATGTGCTTTGCTATGCTTGTTCTAAGTAGGTGCTTTAGACCACTGAGCCATCTCACCAGCCCTCCATGTGGATCTATTAATACCTGTCTCAGCACTGCGCTGTAGGAGAGGAGAAGCCAGATGACCTGCTTATGGAGGTCCTGGTGCGCAGGCTACCGCCCTGGCCTGCCAGCAGTCGTGATGCAGTTGTGCATAGGAGGCATCTTGGAGTGCGTTACAGTCTGGATGGGCTGAGAAATAATCCTGTGACTTTACCTGGCATAGGAGTGCGAGCTGCTCCAGAGGTCAAGGCTGCAGCTGTCGTCTACCCAAGCAAAGTCGAGGGCCTTCAGACAGACCGCCAGGGCATCTCTGACTGCCAGTCACAGCTGCCACCCTCTTCAGCCAGAGGTAGTCAGACTGGTCTTCGGCCCTTACACCCTCATGGCAGTTAGGGGTTTTTCTTCAGGAAGGAGCATGGTAGGTAATCAGCGGTGAGCTTTCAAGAGGTCAGTGCAGAAGATGACTGTGGCTGGAGGTGAATTCACTAAAGGCCAGATTTCAAGGCAGACAAACTACTTACCTATGTGCTTCTAGGGATGAACAGCAGTGAGTGATAGTCTGTGCAGGTGGAGGACCCCGCCTCCTTAGCCCATCCCTTCCAGGAAAGTCCTTGTCTGCCCGTGTGCGCTTGCCACATGACTTGTTTCCCTTGTGATTCCCCTTTAGACAGTAATTACCCTGCTGTTAGTGTTCGTGTACAGGTGTCCCCTCAAATCCTCATGCAGTCATGGGGCAGCTTCTGGAGTTCATAATTACTGTGGTTATGGATGCTCACCTGCCCTGGGACGGGTAATTTGCACTACAGCATAAGAGGGAGGAAAGGCTAGCTAGCTGTCTGAGCTGCTGTCCCTCCTTTGGCTGTCTTGCTTTTGCCTCTACCATGAAAGGTTGCTCTCAGCCATGTGCTGCTCTGCCTTGGAGCCAGCTGAGTATGGACTGAAACCTCCACTGTGAGCCTAATAAACCTTTCCTCCCTTCATTTTGAGTGTTGAGTATGTGTCCCAGCAATAAGAGAAGAGTAACAGATGCCTAGCAACTATCTATCATCTATCTATCTATCTATCTATCTATCTATCTATCTATCTATCATCTATCTAGTATGTGTGTGTGTGTGTATCTGGCTCAGCCCACCCTGGGGGTGGGGCTGGCACGGCATGTGGTGCCAGGGATCAAACCACGATCCCTGCACATTTCCTAAACATGCCCAAGCAGGTGCTTTAGACTGCTGAGCTATCTCGTTGGCCCTGTTTGTTGACCATAGTTTTGTCCCCCCTCACACCCATCCTATGATTTGCCATTGGATCAATTATACTTGTAATCTTACTCATTGGTTATAATTCTGTCCTACCTTAAGCCCACTCCACCTCGTGGCTTTGCTCAATAATACACCCTTGAGAAGCAAGGTTCATGGGCAGCCCACTCTCTGGGCCCGGTTCTGTCTCTCTCAGAAGCCTGTTTTCTCTCAATTATTCTTCCTACTCTTAAAATGAAATTTTAAAAAGGTCAAGTTTGCAACACCAAAGAGAACTGCCCAGGCCATGTACAGCACTGTGGAGGACAGTGGGGCTGGCCGTGGGCTTAGTCGAGTCCTGGGGTAGAGTTGCGTGTCACTTCCCTGTGATTGTGCATGGATTTGTGTAAATCAGTGAACCCCTCTCTCCACATGCCTGTCTGCAGAATAAGAACAATCCTTGCTCTGCCACACCAAAGTCTCAACTCCTATTGGGTTGAGAAGCCACCTAATGCTTAATATGGTGTGATCAGTTTTTGGTGTTTTTTTTTTTGTTTTTTTTTTAACATAACAGCAGTACACTGCATGTAGTAATTGATTTTTGTTTCCTGAACCTTCTGTTTCCATTTGTTCGTGTATTTTACTTACTTGTTCATTCTCTGACCCTCTAGCATGTGAAGTCGGAAGGCAAGTGTCGTCTTTCCCCCTATTCATTTGTTCTCTCCTGTTTTCTTCCTGAGTATGTTCCACTTAGAATTCTCTGGCTGTTTGGTACTTGTTGAAGGAATGAATTAAAAAACATATGACCTGAGCAATGTAAAATGTATTTTTTTTTTTTTTTATTGTGAATCATGGCAAATAAGGTAGAGGACAGCTCTGTATGATACGGAAATAAAAACTGGAGAGGCTCAGCACTTTCAAAGGCAGGTTTTTTTTCCCTGAACAATCTGTGAACTGTCTCATTTAGTTGTCCCAGTTTTTGCTTCATTCTGGTGGTAGAAGCTCAGCCTTTATGTGAGTCTAAAACCTACTCAGGCAAGGGATTTAACAAAAATGG